ACTGCTAACATTTCCGGGCAGTTGATGTGGAAGCCTTTTTCCGCCATCGACCAGTGGCCGAAGGTCGGTATGCCCTCGCACAGCGCCCCCCAACCTGAGTTGGAGGTGTCTGTCATGACAACTGTCCTTCTGCAAAACTATCCCCACGCCCTGTTCCATCCAGCGGGAGTTCTTCCAGGGGGCCAGGGCTGTTACACAGGCCTGACTCACCCTGATCTGCAGGCGTCCGTGACACCACACATGGGATGGAACCCGTGGTTTCAGGCGCATATGAAGCAGACCCAACTGTAGCGCTGGCGATGACGCCGCCATGAGGCCCAGCATCCTCTGAAATGCTTTGAGAAGGCGAGTGGTACCAACCTCAAAGGAGGTCGCCAGCCTCCATATGGCCAGAGCCCGTTCCGGTGCGACTACAGCTCTCATTTGGGCTGAGTCTAAAATTGTTCCCAGGAACGATATTCACTGGCTGGGGAACAACGTGCTCTTGGCAAAATTTACCCTGAGTCCCAGGCACTCCAGATGGCTAAGGAGGAGGGTCCCGTGTGATATTAATTCTGCCTCCGATTGGGCCAGAATGAGCCAGTCGTCGAGGTAGTTGAGAATGCGGATTTCCATCTGTCTCAGAGGGGAGAGAGCCGCGTCCATGCACTTCGTAAAAGTGCGGGGGGCCAGAAAGTATGCATCCTTTAGGTCCAGTGAAAAGAACCAGTCTCCTGAGCAAATTTGCGCAAGGATCTGTTTCAGCGTAGTCATCCTGAACGACCTTTTCATGAGGGCGTGATTCAGGTGTCTGAGATCGAGGATGGGCCGGAGGCCACCATCCTTTTTGGGGACGAAGAAGTAGTGGCTGTGGAAGCCTGACTCACTCTGAGCTGGGGGAACCGTTTCTATGGCTCCTATCGCCAGCAAATTCATCACCTCTGAGTGCAGGACGTGTGCGTCTTTGCTCTAAACTGAGGTGGGAACCACGCAGCTTAATCGCGGGGTATTCGAGCGAATTGCAGTGAATAACCTTGTTTTATTGTCTCCAACACCCAGTTTGGCACAAAATTAGCTTTCCCTGAAAATGCTTTCAAAAAATGCTTCGCTAGACTTAATGCTCTCATAGCGAGAGCAGTCAGCCCCCGTGCGCGCTGCCTCAGCGTGGGTGTGGCCAAGACGCGTACAATTTGAAGCTGTCAGGGATAATAATCATTAGTGACAGCATTCTCTTTTAATCTGCCTTAAAAGATCAAACCGCTCGTTAGAAGAGGAGTTTTGATGATCTTTATGTGTAAACACTCTGGCAGATCAAAAATGCTGCGCGCATTTTCTCAAATCCGCTCGTAGCGGACGAGGGGAAGGGCGGGGCCGTCTTCATTGAAGAAGGCGAGCCACGAGCAAAGCAGAGCGAGACATGAACTCTCGTAGTAAGAGCGGTCTGTCTCAGCGGCGGAGCCTCAGTGTGGGTGTGACCCAGGCCAGAGGCGCGTTCAAATACAAAGCTGTTAGCGATATTGAATCATTGGTGACAGCGTTCTGCTCCAAACCGCCCAGGAGGATTGAGCCGCTCGACAATGAGGGGCGGCGATCCTCTCGTGTAAACACACTGGCAGATCAAAGAGCTGCGTGGAGAGTGATGCATGCGGGGGCTTTGCCGGCATTAAATCACTCAAGCCTGATCGTTCATACCCACGAGTTCATCATTTCTACCGCCGAGTAACTGGGAGGAGAGAAACACAAGAGCGGGGAAGGCGGGGCTCAGCGAAGCGTTTTGCTTTGATCTGCCTAGGAGGATTAAGCTGCTCGTGAAAGGAGGAGCGCTGATCCTCACGTGTAACACACACTGGCAGATTAAGCACGCATGATGTGTGTCGGCATGAAATTGCTCAAGCCTGATCGCTCAACCCGCGAGCCGTTGCTTCCTCCGAGGTAACTGGGAGGAGAGAAACATGAAAGCGGGGAGGCGGGGCCGCCTTCCACGAACGAACAGAGGCAGACTGCTTTCGTGGTAAAAGCAGCCCGTGTCTGTGAGCACAGTCATAGTGACACACACAGTTCGAAGCTGCCAGTGGCAGCATCTGCTTCGATCTACTTAGGAGGATAGAGCCGTTCAATGTAAAGAGGGTGAGACACGGATCGAAGCACAGCGGGGAGAGCGAGAACGCAGGCTCTGTGTCGGTGTGAGATCACTCAGACCTGGTTACTTAGTTCCCAGGCTTCGCTGTTTCTCTCTCCGAGGCTTGCTGAGAGAGGAGAAACAGGAGAGCAGGGCTGCCTTCAGTGAAAGGCGGTCCGCGAGTGGAGAAGAGTGAGACTCATGCTTTCAACGAGAGCATTCCATCTCAGTGAGCGAGCAGTCTCCGCGTGGAGGTGACGCACTCACTGTCCTTCTGCATCGTGCACGATTCCCTGCACGAGCCACACTCGCAGCGCGACATTTGCAACAACGTCGCTAGAATTTGCTCTTTTAGGGCTTACCTGCTAGAAATAAGCTCTTTCAGAATCGCCGGATAGCAGCAGGGGAACAGGACCATCAAGAGGTGAGCAGGCTTTCAGGATCAGCGATGAGCGTAGAGTCGTCGCTGAAGGAAAAGAAAACTAAGAATCCTGTGGCGAGCGCCCGCTTATATAGCCAGATGCCCCGCCCAGTGTGGCGGGCTTTGGCAGGCTTGGCGGGCTTCGTCGCCATAGGCTCGTGCAGTTCTGCTGCTGAGCCATTGGTTCGTTTTTTAATACACTGCACGAACCAATAGCCGTGCAGTTTCACTGCGTGATTGAAAAAAGGCTTCAGTTCAGGAGGAAAAAAAGGCTTTTTCCCATAGTGTCTTAAAGGTAAGGTATGTAATTTTTCAAAAACACTTTAGAAAACTGATTCGGGCC